AATTTTTAAACCAATTTTGCCTTAAAATAACTTCTGTGCAAAACCTAGGTACATCAGTGACAGCTCTGGTTTTCAGAAGTCATAGAAGCCCTCAGCACATCAGCTGTTTGGTGTCTCTACAGGAACCATACGACTTATTCACTTACTCCAGACCAGCACTTCACAATTATGTTTACAAAGAAATTTACCCACACTAGTACAGAGAGAAGTCCTTATTATCTGCCTCTATCCAGCTTTCTAAGGAAATCACACTGTTTGTGCATGTCTCACCTGACAAATTCTCAACCTGCTGGCTATTTTGAACCAAACTGAAAGAGCAGGAGAGATCTCAGCAAGAGTTAAAATCCTCCATGGTTAAACAGCTGGAGAGAAGCCTTCAGTGTTTCTATAAGGCAAAGGGTGCAGTGTGAGCATAGCTCTTATTAGACACAAGAAAACCTGTGCAGGAGAGAGCCCACATAAATGCCCAGACCACAAGAAAAACTTCAGCTGGAGCTTGGAATAACTGAATTTTGTGTTACAAATCCAGAAGTAACAAGGTTTCTTTGGTTTGGAGTTCATGAGACTGTTCTTATGAGATGAAAATATAATTTCACCCACTTCTTTACATCAGACACACACTGCTGTTTTTCTCCCAACCTTCTTATAAAATATAATTAATTTACGTTTTAAAGACCTTGATAGGTTTTCTCTCATCATGGAACAGTAAATGAGATTAATAACCCAGTTACTGAGCACTTAAGCTCAATAGATAATTTTGATATAAAAACATCAACATTTTCTTCATTTTTAAAATGCACCTTTCATTTGATTTAGGTGTTAATGCTCATTTCTTATGTAATAAAAGGGAGAAAAGCTAAAGCATGAGTCAATGTTTATTAACCTTGCTAATAAGACAGGCTTTTTCAGGCAAGATGGATATATCTTAATTGGTAAACCGGTTGCATCGTCATTTAGCCAATTAATCCTTTCCAAACAAGGGAAGCAGCAGCAATTTTATTTGCAGTGAATGGAAATAAACTTGTCACATTCTGTGTATCAATTTACACATTATTACTTTCCCACTTAAATCATTAAGAATGCAGCCCTTTGATTCCCAAAATAAAGCAATCCAAATTAACATTAGCATGTATGGAAATATGGCTATATATAACATATTAATTGACCTTAGTTTGCAATCTGTATGTAAACTCAATCTGCACATTCATGGGATTAATCTAGAATTGAACGTTACATTTCCTTCAAAAGAGTGTAATTTGCATCTTTAGTAGAGTCATAAGAAAGCAGATTAAAAGATGCCTTAATAAACTGTTTTCCACAGTTTGTAAAAACATAGCCTTAAGGCTGAAGTTTGCACTAATGCTGTTTTAAATAGCACTGATGTTGAATGTTGACATTTCACACAATTGCTATTGAATCCTGCTGTCTGATCCTTTAAAAAAACCCTATAAAGCATCTGAGTGTTTATTAACAGGTATTAGCAGTCTGTCAGAGACAACTATATATATGTCTTTTATACATAAAAATGCACTCCAAAATTTATGCTGTGGTTCAGTACATTATAAATGATAATCCAGATAAAAACAACTGTCAGGGTTGCAATTGTGCTGGGTAATGTTACACCAAAAGCATAATTTCCATTACATCATTCCCTTTTCTTCCGATTTATTTTCTGTAATAGCTCAGTCCTTTTCATGAAACACTGAACAGGCATAGAACTGTGAATAACCACCAATCGCAGGTTATAATTCTTTTAGTTTATATCCCATTTCTGAAAGTGTTCTGTAGTCAACCAGGAGAATACTTAAGTGGCCTCATATGAAAACCTGGGACTTCTAATTATTTAGCCAAATTTCATGTTCTTAGACACAGCTGGATTTCCTCTGATAGCTTATCACCTTGAGAAGAGTCAGCCTCATATTATGAGGTATCCTGCAGGGATATAATGCACAGAGGTCTGTGCATTACTGGCTGTCCCTTTGGATTTTAGGAACAATTTAGGGCAAGGTAATAGCTTTTTCTTACCTTCTGTGTATACTGAAATCTGGTCCACGAAAGTCTTAAAACACAGAAAGGAGGATCACTTAAATAGAAGAGAGGTTCATTTCTTTGAAGGCTGGTGTCTGCCACTGGAGAATGGAGAAGCATGAATAATTTCCATTGAGATGACCAGGAAACTCTGTGAAGAAGACAGGAAAGAGGATACTGCTGTAAGAAAAAGAGCTCAACTTTGGTTAATCACCATTTTTTCCAAACACTTATTCCATCTTCAGTAGGCATCAAAATTTAGCTAGTGGATAACAGTTCCCAAGATTTATCTCTGCTTGATTTAACCTAAACTGTGAATTATGAACTGTGAATGCTTTCACTGTAAACTGTGAGAATGTTTTTGTCATGGTCATGCTAAGAAACGTGCTCAAGTATTAGTGCACCTCTTAACAGATCAGCTGCTTTCCTCAGGACTTGCAGAAGAAAAAAACAATGTGTACATATTTAAGCAGTTGTTTGTAGTCAGAGAAACTCTGCAGATATCCAGACCTGCATTCTGAACAATCCCTTGCCAATGAGACAGTTAGCAGAAACTTAACAGCTTTTTCTTTCTTTGAAGTGAGCAGAGATAGTGTGTAGGTAGTATAGCAGGCCATTCTGCAGCTTTAGTTTCACCCTACTTTCACATTTTCTATCATCTCCCTGGGCTTTTTACAGTTTGTCTACACTGATCTCCTCTCTCTGAAATAAACTTCTTTTCTTAGGAGTTTTAAGTACGTCTGGAAAGAGTATGGCTCCTAGGAATATAGTATGTATTGCTGCATTTTCCATGCCTTTTAGTACAGGAGATATGGGCTTTTCAGCACAACCAGCCTGCACCACTTCAAAATGAGCCATCAACTCACTATGGATAAAACCAATTTTGTCTGATGTCCAATTGCCCACAAGAAAGTGGGAGACAGCTCAGCTGCAAGGTGATATGCTGAGAAATCTACTTTCCTAGGGAATACACGCTGAACATTACAGGTCTCTCACAAGGCTCTGGAGTTCATTGACCCAATCCACACCCCCTTTTGCCTAGAGAGGTGTGCATCGAATTAAATCCCTGAACAGCTGATGAGATCTGCTTGGGGATCTTTGTGGACAGTAAGTCCTCAAGTCTTCCTCGCTTTCCATGGAGTGCAAGAGCTCTCAGTCCCCAGGTGTAAGAAATCAGGAAAGGAAGGCAAGTGACCCTCATGGCTGAGTATGTCAGCCAGAAAAGGAAGGTCAAAGAATGCATACCCATCCTTGATGACCAAGACTGGTAAACTGGTAACAATGGACTAGGAAAGAGCTGAGGTGCTCAGCTACTTTTTTGCCTCGGTCTTCACTGGCAACCTCTCTTCCCACACCTCTCGGATAGATGGACCACAAGATGGGGACTGGGGGAGAAAAGTCCCTCCCACTGTAAGAGAAGATCAGGTTTGTGACCGCCTGAGGAACCTGAACATATATAAGTCTATGGGACCTGATGAGATGCATCCCAGAGTCCCGAGGGAATTGGATGATGTAGTTGCCAAGCCACTATCCATATTTGCAAAGTCATGGCAGTCAGGTGAAGTCCCCAGTGACTTGAAAAAGGGGAACATCGCAGCCATTTTTAAAAAGGGTAGAAAGGAAGACACTGGGAAGTACCGACCTGTCAGCCTCACCTCTGTGCCCCAGAAGATCGTGGAAAAGATCCTCCTAGAAGCTACGCTAAGGCACATGGAGGACAAGGAGGTGATTCGAAACAGTCAGCATGGCTTCACCAAGGGCAACTCCTGCCTGACCAACTTAGTGGCCTTCTACGATGGAGCGACTACATCAGCGGACAAGGGAAAAGCTATGGATGTCGTCTATCTCATCTTCTCTAAGGCCTTTGACACAGTCCCCCCAACATCCTTCTCTCTAAATTGGCAAGATATGGATTTGATGGGTGGACTGTTTGGTGGATGAGGAATTGGTTAGATGGTTGCATCCAGAGGATAGTGGTCAATGGCTCAATGTCAAGAGGGATATCAGTGACAAGTGGTGCCCCTCAAGGGTCTGTACTGGGACCAGTACTGTTCAATGTCTTCATCAATGATATAGACAGTGGGATTGAGTGCACTCTCAGCAAGTTTGTGGAGGACACCAAGCTGAGTGGTGCAGCTGACACGCCAGAGGGACGGGATGCCATCCAGAGGGACCTCATCAAGTTTGAAAAGTGGGCCCATGCAAACCTCATGAGGCTCACAAGTGAAGTGAAGCCCAAGTGCAGATGTTTCAGCAGGGCCTGTTGCGATAGGAAAAAGGTAATAGTTTTAAACTAAAAGAGGGTAGATTTAGACTAGATAGAAGGAAGAATTCTTTTATGATGAGGGCACTGAAACACTGGCCCAGGTTGCCCAGAGAGGTGGTATATTCCCCATCCCTGGAAACATGCAAGGTCAGGTTGGACGGGGCTCTGAGCAACGTGATCTACTTGAAGATGTCCCTGCTCATTGCAGGGGGGTTGGACTAGATGACCTTTAAAGGTCCCTTCCAACCCAAACTATTCTATGATTCTCTTTCATTAAAAACCTCAAGTGTGGGATTTACAGTCAAGTCTGAGATTTAGTTACTTACCTGCAAAAATTCAAAGACACGTCATAAATAAAAAAACAAAATCAGAAGAACTTGGTCATGAGGACTTTTCATATTTATTTTGAAAACAGTGGGCTGTAAATTAATTACCAAACTATTTACATGGTAGTACTGTGGTTTTCTGGTCCTTCACACCAGGACAAAATGAGCAGGTACATGGTTGAGGATTCTTATTGAGCTATCACTGTCTTTGGGGTAATGGTCCCAGTGAAAGTCCTTGACAGAAGTGGCATTACCGGTAGTTCTCTTTGCATAAGAAGTTGCTGACCTTGCTGAATATAAGTATGTGTAGCTGGGACATAGAAGGCCTCACGCATTAACAGGATAAGCAGTGCCAAACCATGGACTTTGTAAAATTACTCTTATCCCAGAATAAGGGTTTTATTAAGTGCTTTCAGCTTCATTTTCTCCACATGTTTTTGAACCTTCTCTCCAAGTTCATTGTTTTGTCGTTGAAAATATCCATCTGGATGGTTGTGCAGGTCTCTGCAAGAAGTTTAAAACGTCATTTGTATTTATAATAGCCAGGAGAGCTACTTAGGAATGCTGACAACAACAAAGAAAGAGACACTCATACATAATTTCTCACTTTTTTGTAATGAACACAGAGGGTATTCCATTACTTATGCAGAACTGGAAAAGGAGTGAAACTGTGAAAAGAACATTCCCTCTTGGCTTGGCTAATTAGGAAAGCTAACCATCTGATAAGTAAACACATAGTAGACTGAGTTTTACATTTTATGTATGAAGGAACATATGCTGTAATGGCCAGAACAAGAGCATCCACATGAAAAACCGATTTGCCTTAAGGATAAAATGCTGTAACTACTGCAGAGGAGCAATGTGTTCTCTGTCAGCCAGTGAAACACCACCCCATCTATATAACAACAAAGCACCTTCCAGTGACAAAAGAAAGGATTGGGACTTCATTGTTTGCTAACAAATTTTTGTTTCCCTCTTTATAAAGCCAAACAAATAGGGAACCTTTCAACAAGTCAACAGAGGTGTTTAATATAGAAAAGGGTTTTAATTTTTGAAGAAAACATCTAAAACTTAAAAAAGAAAGAACCTTATGGTCATAAAACTACTTACCCAGGAAAAGCACCATCCGGCGCTGTATCACTGTGGAGAAAAAGGTCAATCTTTAGTTATACAAGTTATCCCAAATCCCCATGTTCTGACAACCCAAGTGTCATAAAATGCAAAAAGCAGCCTGGAGTGTGGCACACCTGCATTTTTACAGCAAATTATTTTCAATCAACACTGTAGTAATCACAATACAGTAATCAGTGTTTTGTCAGAGAGCTCATAATACGTAGCACTGTTTTAAAGTGTAATGGCTGACAGTTGCTCAGGATCTCAATGTCAATCAAATAATTTCTCTCTAAAATTAAAGAGAATGAGACACTCAAATCTCTTGATGGCTCTGAAAGTTTCAGGCTCTTATGCACATGCTGACATCTAAGCCACACCATGGCCACTTTAAAAAGGGGACAACTGTTGGACAGAGAGATTAATTCACTTGCTCCAAGTCACACAAGGTATCTGTGAAAACACAGGGTTAGAACTCAGCACCTTCTCCTATTTTGCTCTGCCATCACTTATCCTACCCACACTACCTGCTGCTCAAGCCCACTGCCCGCAGTGTCCCACTTACCAGCTCAGATACCTCCTTGCATCCTTCCTGCAACATCACATGGCCCTAGGATTCACACAGTGCATCCACTTCTGCTTCCAACCTCACAGAACTGCTGGTCAGTTCTGAAATGCTGCTCTTAAACCATGGTGGTAATCACCAACCCCATCAAAGACCCATTTGTCACTTAGAGCTTTCCTTGTCCTCAGGTTGTCCCTCAAGCTCTCTCTGCTGAGCTGCAAACTCAGAACATTGGCCTGACAATACTGGAGGCAAAAGGCAGAACTTGGTCCTTACAGTGGCCAGTTTACAACATTTTAGGGAGCAGGTAATTCTGTGTTTATGAATGCAAGTTATTTTACATGCTGTGCTGTATGCCCAAAACTCAATGTGTTGTTGGTGGGGTGTGAAGCTCAGACAGCAGAGCAAGTGTGACCCACTCCTAGGAAAAGACTGAGAAAAAAGCACAACACCAGGGGGAAATTCTAAGGGCCCATTCTTCTGCCAGCTCTAATAAATATCTAACCTAAAGGGTCAGTGAAAGGCAAAAGCCACTGGTCCAAGAACATTGAATATCTATGCAAAGGCAAGAAAACTGTCTCAAGTGTTAGACCATATTGACAAAACTGAAGTCAGAGACATCCAGGCCAGTGTGTCACATTCACAGCTGTTTTCTGAAGTCCTCCAATCCAGAGATTGCATTTGTAGTGCTAGTTTGCTCAAAGTACAGGACCTGCATCCCACTTGTGATGGAGCCCCTAGAGCATCTCATCTTTCTACATAATACTGAATGGGATTCTTGTCTTCAGATTCCTTCCCATTCCTCTCCCCTAATTTCGGATTATATCTTACCTTTCTTCCTTTGCTGATTTCTCTTTGCCTTCTTCTGAGAGTGCCTGCCCAATTTGTGGAAATTCAGCTCTCACCATCTCTGGAGTAAGAATCATTTTGAACTCAGTTTCATCTGTCTCACTAAAAATTAGTAAGATGAATAAGAATTGTGCTTTATCCTTTTAAAAGTATATTTTAGCCAACAAAAACAAAAGTATGTTTTATGCAAGAGGGACTTTCTGCTTTTGCCATTCAGGATCTCTTGGGACAGGTTTAGACACATCCATGCAAGTGGTTAAGACATAATCAATCACATCACTGAATACAAAATAGAGGAGAAACTTACTGGTCAATTATGTTCTCCCTGTCTCTCTCAGGTAAGTCACACAGCATTGGTGGTACATCTCTTGGAAGCATATCTAAGCTGTAAGGATCCCTGCAATGGAAACGGTATTAGTTTAAGCTGGTCAGAGAGTAACTGCACTCAATGCTTATATTTTGAAGCTTCACAGTAGTTGTAGTTACAATGAAGATAATGTACTTTTAAACATTCCTGGAAAATCTGACTACACCAGGAACTGCTGTGATATGAGGGAACATGAGCCTGAGAGATGCTATCTACCAGTAGGCACAGATGACCACATGTTAAAGGTTTTACTGTTGATACTTCTGCAAAACAGAGAGAGTTTCTACCTCCTGGGGTCTTCTAGCACTGAATCAAAAAGGACTGAGGAGAGATGTTATTGAAAGTCCAGACTGGAACTCTCCTTCCAGGGCTAGGTATTTCCTCTAATATTGTTCTTAACCACCCTTCAAGGAGGTCAGTAGGGGTTTTCCCTGTTGGTTTTGGATTTCTGAGCAGCGATTAATTCCACCTGTAGGCCCATTTTTTATCTGTGGGACTGTTTACTGTTCAATGTAGTTACAGACAGCAGAAACTGGTGCAGGGTAGAGGCACTGTATATTCAAATTCTTTCTTACCTAGGTGTTGTACTTGTCAGTGTGGGAGTGTTAGAAAAAGTGGAATACACCACTGGTAAGAATCTTCTCCATTCCATTACTCCACAAATCACTTCCTGAAATGACAAGTGCTACAGCAATCAGACCTCTAATACATAATGCAGTGGGGAGAGAGGCTTGTAGGGCAGAGCATTGACTTGGCTGAGAATTGAATCTGGGGAGCTGCAGTTGTCCATATTTAAAAGATGCTTCCTCCACTGCAAGGTCATGAAAATACAACAGACAGTGAAAAGAAGGAAAGAGCAGAGAAATATTCAGGGATAAATAAGAGACATGGATAAAGAGACAAGAACAAGTTATTCTGATCCATGTACTGACTGTTTAGGGGCACGCATAATTTATATTTGACAATGTCTTCTCCCTAGGATGACTCTTCATCTTCCTTTTTGATTCCTTGGAGCAAATTCTCAGCAAGAACACACCCAAATCAGGTACTCATACAATAAAACCCAAAAGGCCATACCTTGTGATGCAGAAATTTCTTTTGTGTGACTGGAATACTGGATCCTTTGGGGCATTCCTTGGTAAAGGTATATTTTGGATGAGGACAAAGATGATACTCAATATTTGTTTCAGAATAGGCCAAAGGAGGTAAAACTGGAACTAATCCTGGAGTAGGGTTCTAAAAACAAAGAAGAGATGATTTAAAATTGTTCTGAGCACCATAAAGAACTAAACTGATGAAAATTCAGTTCTTACAATTAGTGTAGTCTCCCCATATTCACACCTTTATCTCATTATACCTGTTCTGTTTGGTGTGACCCTTCATTTCCTGCCTCTTCCCCTCATCACAGACCCATAATCTGCCTGGTTTATCCATGCTCTCTGCTGTCTAAAATACAGCAATTCAGGTGTTGTCTCCAAGTTTGGAAGAAAAAACTATTGCCTGATTACTCCAAAATTTGTTGCTGATTCTCTGAACTGTTCAGAATCCAAGAATGGGAACTGTCCTTGCTGTGGTGGAAGCCAGTGAGCATTTTGCCATCGATTTCACTGCACTAGCATCTGTTTCTGAATAAAGCCTAGTGCTGGGTAGTGTGGGATCAGGCTGTGCCTGGGTCTTACACTGACATGACAGAGTGATGAAAGACATGCACAGAGGATCTCATCAGTAAGTCCACTGGAGTCCTGGCTGCATGCAGTGAGGACAAGTCTATACCATAGATGTTATACCAAGACCACCAGACTAGCACACTGGGCTCTGGGCCATCGCAGCTAAGTAATGTTGAAAGACAGAGCCACCCAAGTCAGGCACAGTGCCATGCTGGCTTGGAGGTGCTGCCTGTACCCATGCACAGCACTTCACTGAGCTATACATCTGTCTCTGCCCGCTCAGAGAGACACCTCACGGACCTCCGGGCTATGCCACGCTGTGTGGGAAATACCTTCTTGTAGCTTGTGCCAAGTAGCACAATCTACATGACAATTAAGTAACAGAAAATCTTCCCATGCACGCGGTTGTGATTTTTTGAATCTCTGTGCCTAATAATTTGGAAATGTGGTTTTGGGATACTATGAGAATTATTGGAAACTCTGAGGCAGCAGTACGCGATGTGAGCGAAGAGTTTGACTTCACTTTTCTCAGTTTAACTAAGGATCAAGCAGAACTGCAGTTCCCGAGCTGAACAGAAGGAAAAGACTGCCCCTGTCCTACCTACCTGGGCAAAAGCATGAGGTTATAGAAGGACTGATATGCCAAGATTATGGCTTTTCTTCTAACATCCAAATGAGGAAACAAACGGAGAACGGAGGTGCCCCATGGTATTCCAGGGAATCCTGGGATCAGTGACCATTTGTGGAGTGGGAGACTGGAAGGGTCTCCAGTTCTCTGCCATTACTGGCAACTTTGCCTCATTGTCGCTCCCCTAAACTGATCAAATTCCACCTTAAAATGAAACGGTGCCCCTCTCAGTGGGATGAGCTCTGTGACGCCTACCTACCAGGGCTTGCACCTTGAAGGATTACTGTCACTCTGGATAGTTTTATATAACAATATCTGAGTAAGAAAATTGCCCACCAATTCCACAACAGGCTTCTGATGAAACAAACACCTTTCCCCCTGCTTTCTTAGGTTCTTTGTACAAGTCAGCTTTTACTTACAAAAATGAGAAGTGGGTTGCTCTCTGGAGGGTAGACTAAAGCTTGGGGAGGAACCAGTTTTAAGAGGCTGATATCCCATTCTTCTGGGGATGGTTTGTGAAAATCCATTCTCTGGGAGACCAGGTTAAGCTGCCCCTCAGGAGAAGCAACTACTTGAATCAACTCATCCTTGAAAAAACAGACATCAAAGGTTTTCAGAGTGTAGTAAGCCTTTTGCTATAAAATGTTGAGACAAAATAAATAAAATAATTGTAGAAACATAGGGTTGGGAGTGACTTCAGCAAAGTTTGTATTTGAGAGGTCTTGTTACCTGGGCTCCCTGCCTCAGTGGTCGGGAAAGTTTTCGAGGTTTGTAACTTGTGGCTGCATAGTGTGTACAAAATGGCTGATACTTCATAATGCTGCAATGCTGAGGAACCTAAGTGCAAAGAAAAAAGATGTGCTGCAGGAGTTTACAATCATCACTTCTGAATAACTCATAAATGGAATGGAACATTCCAGCTTTATCATGAACACATCACATCTCTGTGGTAAAAGATATTTGGATCACTATTCTGGAACATGGTATATGACCAAAACTTTGAGAAGCCATAATTCATCAGGACAAGCTGAATAAGTGCATAAAGGAATATTTCCATTCTTGCTTTTCTGTGAAAGATCATGGATTTAACAGTTTCTTGATCAAATATACTGAACTTAATGGGGTGGAGAAAAGCTATGTTAAGTGATATACGTAACACCAATAGACGAACGAATAAGGGTAAAAGATGCTACAAGAAAGCTTCTAGACTTGTTACACCACCTGAAACATAAAGAAAGTGGACACTAAGCCAAAATCTGCGTTGATTTGAACCTAAGGAAATATTTTTACTTCAATGGGATGCAGAATTTGATCTTCTGCTATTCAAAACTCGGAGAGAAAAGAGTTTAGAAGTCAGGAGAAAAAAACTGTTTTTGTACTCATAAAGTTGAAAAAACATTATATATCCCAAGAAGATGTTTGCATTTTCTTTGCAGGAATGAAGGAACTAAGCACGCAGAACTGGATGCCAAATAAACAGACAACTTCCATTACTTTCTAAAAGGAAGGACGCTTTTATAATGTAACTTTTATAAAATCCTAAAATCAAAGGAAAAACTGTGTGGTGTGCAGGGCTTGCAGTACCCTCATTCATAGAATGACTTTGTTGTTTGAGATATAATAATTTCAGCCAAGGTGATTCATCTCTCTGTCTGCAGAGAGGGGACCATTGCTGACTATAAGCTTGTTACTTATGGAATCAGGTGAGATTTGTTTTCAATAAAAGCATGCTGCATCAAAAGAAGCGCGGCCAGCAGGTTGAAGGAGGTTATTCTGCCCCTCTACTCTGCTCTTGTGAGGCCCCACCTGGAGTACTGCATCCAGCTCTGGGGCACCCAACATAAAAAGGACATGGACCTGTTGGAGTGAGTCCAGAGGAGGGCGATGAAGATGATCAGAGGGCTGGAGAACCTCTCCTATGAGGACAGGCTGAGAGAGTTGGGGTTGTTCAGCCTGGAGAAGAGAAGGCTCCCGGGAGACCTTATAGCAGCCTTCCAGTACTTAAAGGGGGCCTATAGGAAAGATGGGGAGGGACTCTTTATCAGGGATTGTAGTGATAGGACAAGGCGTAATGGTTTCAAACTGGAAGAGGGTAGATTTAGATTAGATATTAGGAAGAAATTCTTTACTCTGACGGTGGTGAGGCACTGGAACAGGTTGCCCAGAGAAGTTGTGGATGCCCCATCCCTGGAGGGGTTCAAGGCCAGGCTGGATGGGGCTTTGAGCAACCTGGGCTGGTGGGAGGTGTCCCTGCTCACGGCAGGAGGAGTGGTACTAGATGATCTTTAAGCTCCCTTCCATCCCAAACCATTCGATGATTCTATGATTTTATGCTAATCATTCAGCCATATTAAGGCAACATTTCTACTGGGCTGCACACTGGGGCCACTGAGTTAGGCAGAAAACATGTTTAACTGGACTGGTGAAAGACAGAAACATGATACAGCTGAGGGAGCTGTGCTGACTCACCTTCAAGTCGTAAAAAGGAAGAATGTGTCTGACTTTCACATCTACAGATTCGATAGGGACTAGGCCAAGAGCATCAGGTGCCTGAAAGAATACAGTATGTAAAATCCAGTAATATAGTGGGCATTTTGCTTTGCATTGGCAGCAGTCCATCAGCACAGCTACTTCAAAACATATGAAAATAATTATGCATACATTTCATTTGATATTTCTCCTGTCCTTTCTTGGACTTTCACATTTCAGTTATTTTTTATTTCTTTTCTTCTGCAAAATCATGGATGTTAACTAACTCTGATCATTAATGTCTTCCTCAGAATTTTAGAATGCAATTAAGAGAATGCAAAGATTTTTTTACTGTTTTCAGCAGCACCCTTAGTAAATCTGAAGCCCTGAATTAATTTGTTGGAACCCCAGAACACCAGGCACATTGTAAAATTTTAATAAAGGTAGTACTGGGCCTGGGGCCAATGTCTTCAACAAAATTCTGTCTTGAGTGTTGGCCACTATTTTAGTTACTATACCTACCAAATCATGGTGAAATTCAAGGGAACTGTAAAAGGGGAATTCAAAAGGCAATATACGATCTTCAGATATGCTGGAAGAAAAGCCCTTACATTCTTCACTCTTCTCTGGTTTGCTGAAACTCCTGGTTTCTGCCATGAATGGAAAGCAAATACTAAGATTTTGTAATATATCTTAAGACACTGTCTCAAAAATAGAATCAAGCCAAAAAATACATTTAACATCTTCCTAAGGTAAAATGTATCCAGTAGTTTTAATATAAAAAGGAAGATATTAGTTCCTAAAGGCTTTAAATGCTACATCTACAAGATAGCAGACACAATACCTTAAGTAGCAGACAGATCTTATTTCCCCTTTTCTAAAAGGACGTTACAGCCCACTCATTCCAGCATGGTCCTCTATCTCGTTCTTCTCAGCAAGGCAGAGACAAGCCTCTCTTACACCAACTGCCATTACACCTTCTACTTGAAGCATCCCTACAACTCCTGCATACTGGGAATTAAAAATGCCTACTTGCAGAAGCAGGAAAAAGCCTAATATGGAAAGGTATTTCAGCAGTTGTTAAACTGCTTGTATACAAGGAGTGTGAAATAAGAAACACAAACTCTCTTCTGTCCCCAGTATACCCAACTGTGACTCCCATCGAAGGCCAGTTTCCTTCTATGACTGTTAAAGAAAAGTGACTTTCCAGGCCAGCACTTTCATTTCACTGTAAAAAAAAGTGATTGCTTGAAAGCACTTGTATGAGAAAAAGATAAGGAGCAAAACTCAACCCAGTATTGGCCACCTAGCCATGTATCTCGTGGTTCCTACCATCTCATTTCACTGAGTTCAGATGTCTTGCCCTCATCACAATCAGGGAGTTTTCCCTCTTCTGCCCCCCATATGATAACCTCCTTTTATCCTATGTCTCTAAAGTCTTGGGCTCCACCTGATCTGTTTACCTACCTATGTGTTTCTCATTCAGTCCCATCTGCCCTTTCATTGTTCCTCAGGCCTCTAAGTAGAAACATAGAATGCTTCAGGTTGGAAGGGACATTTAAATGATCTATCTAGGGCCAGGGACATCTATCACTAGATCAGGTTGCTCAAAGCCCCATCCAACCTGACCTTGAATGCTTCTAATGATGAGGCATCCACAACTTCTGCCCTATTATTAAGTAGATAAGCTGCAAGGCTCCTAAGGAGAGTTAATCACATTTTTTAAATCTGGTAAATAATGTGTATGAAAAATAGACATATTTTGACTTACAGCCATCTCTACCTTTTAGTAGCGCCTGTTGTGATAGGACAAAGGGTAGTGGTTTTAAACTAAAAGAGGGTAGATTTAGACTAGATAGAAGGAAGAATTCTTTTATGATGAGGGCACTGAAACACTGGCCCAGGTTGCCCAGAGAGGTGGTACATGCCCCATCCCTGGAAACATGCAAGGTCAGGTTGGACGGGGCTCTGAGCAATGCGACCTACTTGAAGATGTCCCTGCTCATTGCAGGGGGTTGGACTAGATGACCTTTAAAGGTCCCTTCCAACCCAAACTATTCTATGAGTCCACCTTGTCACACTTCTCTTTTTTGCTGGAAGACTCCTTTGTAAGGACTCTGTCTTTACATTTATATGTAACACACCTGGCACACTGCAGTATAACCTGAATTATTGTAACTCACGGCCAAAATATAAACTTGTTCTTCCACTCCTTACCAGACACAGAGCCTTTCTTCAAATCTCTCGCTTCTCTGGATAGCCCACGGAACAGAAGCAGTAAACGATTTAGCCGAATCTGAATCACAATCTGAGAGAATGATTTTAAAGTTTAATATTAAGCCGAACACTCTCAGATTTAGAGCCATCAAAAGTGTACATAAATACATTACAAGTGTATTTATTCTACAGAGCTTACTCAGACATCTCTATTTCAGAATTTTTACTATAGTTTTCTGTTCAGGAAGGAGAAAATGGGGAAGGAAAGATGTAGAATGGATCTCAACTCTACATTGACATTACACAACAAAACCAGTTCAAACCTTCATTTGGTCTTACGGCTTAATTAGCCTTTTTTTGGCTCGGTCTTAATCCTTCAGCTGTGTCTATTGGCATACACAGATTTAACAACGGGTAAACAGTCAGTTGATCAGGGCTATATGAATACTTGTGGCTCTATGAATGAGGAGAATAAGTAGTAACATGCACTGCGCAATTTGCCTAGTGCCATATATCACAGGGTAACAATGAAGAGTCCTAGGCTTTAGTACCAGAAGGGACCATTTAGCCACATCCTTATTTGTGCAATATGGGAAAGAGCATTTCATTTCAGGACCTCCACATCAAGCCTAATATTTTGAATAGATTGGAGAAGAATATCCAAACTGGATACTAGGAGAGCAGGAAATTTCCATATTGCTTGCTACATTTAGATTTACTGTGAAAAGAGCAGAGGAGATGCAAGATAATATTTAAACCCAATGAGATAAGAGACTTTACTGATTAGTTTTTAGCTTACAGGTTGGAAGGGATCTTAGGAGGTCCAACCTCACGCTCCAAGTAATGTCAGCAACGAGATCAGATCAGGTTGCTCATGGTTTTATCCAGTTCGGTCTTGAAAACATCCAAGGATGTAGACTGTACAACTTCTCTGAGCAACCTGCTCCAATGATTGACTATCCTCATGGTGAAAAAGGCTTTCCTCATACACAGTCTATACCTTTCTTATTTGAATTTATGCCCATTGTTTCCCATGTTCTCACCATGCACCATGGTAAAGATTCTGGCTCTGTTGTCAATAACCTCCTGAGAGGCATTGGAAGGTGCTGCTCTCTCCCTCCCCTTTCCCTCTCCAGGCTGAGTAAGAGTCGCCTCACGGAGTGAGAGCTCCAGATCCCACCTTTCTTGCTGGCTCTACACTGAACTCATTCCAGCTTACTGATGTCTTTCTTGTAGTAGGGGCCCAAAACTGGGCACAGTATCCTATATGCATTTTGAAATCCTCTCTTCTTTGTGCAAAAATATTTTTTATTTTCAAAAATATCTAAATTCATCTGCATTTGTTTAGTATTGATTCCAATACTAAGCACCAGCAGAATCACCAGCTGAAGCACCAGCTGAATATAAAACTTACTCCAGATCCTTATTTCCTGATGAAGTAGGGACATATTTATCAAACTATCAAATCCCTGGCTAGCTGTGAAGACTCCTTATGTGCTAGCTTGCATATTCTTTTGTGCTATTTCAAAGTCATCATGCCATCACACTGCATTCTGGTTGTTCACATTACCTTGTATGCTGCTTGTTGGAATTTCCTCAACATCCTGTTTCTGTTGTCCCAAGGGTCATTATGGAGCAAGTCGAATGTGGGATGGACACTTGGATGCTGCATGGTATTTTTTAAAAAACAGAAACAGAAAAGAAAAGGGACACCCCTTTTACAACTAGACACGAGACAAATTTCCTCCAGCCCAAGCCATTCCTTGGCCTGAATTCATATGTTATTTCTAAACACTGAAATTAAGTCAAATGAAAACGTTTGCAGTATTGGCATTTAACCAGAAGCCTGCACTTGCGCAGGGCTTAATGGGAGGTAATCACTAAATATTTGCAGATGCGGCATGGGGAATACAGATATAATGTAGCATGGTCTTCATCCACACAAATGACAGCCACATACTAAGACTTAAGTGCATTACATGGTCAGTGAGATAGTGGAGAGAATAGACTCGATCTCTGCCGAATACACACGTCATCTTGCACAGATGTGAAGTTGGAATAGATGTAAGGGCTCAAACCAGGGGCCCAGCAAAACCAGTATCCTGTCTCCAATAATGACTGATAGCAGATACCTACAGAAGGGCAAAAGACCGGGGTAAACTTGGAGTGATAATTCCCCAGAATAATCTCCCCACATCTAGTGATCTCTGGCTCTGCAGATACTTGAGGCAGAGATGATGACTCGACATTTAATGCCTTAAACTGTCAGAATACTCTTTGAACACAAGTAAATCTCTTTCTTAAGATGCGTTAATCTCTTCCCCAGTTTTAAATTGATGTGACAGAAGAATGTGGCACTAGAAGAGACTCCAGTGGCCCCAGAGTACAGTACCTCTCAACAGGAGGGCAGCTGCTCAGCCAGCATTTAGATTAGGAAGGCCCTCAGAACACACCAGCTCCACACAACCCCATGCCATGCCTCACCAAACAATTTTCAGCATTTTATAACAGGCGTAAGTGTATAGTAACAAACCAACTCCCACAGCTATTATGTTCCTCAAAAAGAAGGCAGTTTGTGTTGCTAACATTCAAAGTTCCTTCAGTAGCAGGGTATCTATTAAACAAAGCTCTCAATAATCCTAGGAAATGGATCTTAGGAAGTACCTAACACCACAGAGAAGGGCAAAAAAATCCAAGTACCAGAAAGGTTCCTGTTAACGTGACCTGCAGGTAAAGGTTGCAAATCTTGTGATATGCTTAACCTTATGTTTAGGCATGAGAAAGCTACTCCTGAGAGAACTTTCAGAAACAAGCAATATGAATCTCAGGTTAGGCTTGCAGATTTCCACTTGTCTCTCATATTAGATCAGAACATCAGAAGACGAGTTGTGCATGTAGCACAATGCTTGCCCTACCGTACTAGAAGTAAAATGGAAAATAAGACACTGACACAGAAACAGGAATATTAGGAGGAAAAGTATTCAGTGCCAAATATCTATGGCTATTTGCTAGCTTAGTAGGGGATAATAACATATAGCAGGCAATAAGAACATATAAACAAACCTGGTCAACAGGCCGGATAATGCGTCTGAAAGAAACTTCTGCTTCATTCCTTTGAAACTCACGTTCTATGATAGGATCTCCTCTTTGGATCTAATTTGTCACCAGGAAGAACAATCACATTAGTACAAAGCATCCAGTGAATTCTTTCCTCCTTTACAAGTGGAACGCACTCACATTCTGGAGATGCTTGACAAAACACAGACTCCATTCCCTTCCAGGCAGTGATTATTACAACCCTTGAGTAAGTCAAACAAAGTAAAATAATGT